AATACAAGCTTGTTAGAAGTCAGACTGTCAAGTAGCCACTGGAAATATGTTCTATAAGTTCCCTTTAGAGGTTAAGTAGGAGCTCTACATTTTTGCCCCCTTTCTCCGCTACTCCAATAGGTTATAACCTAGGGAAATGTTCACAAACCTGTTTAAAAACATGTCTTTTTATGTGATCTAGGGATATTAAATCATACACCTCTTGCCCTTTATGATGCCAAGCTAAGTGGTTCATGATGAAGTACTTGGAAAGGTAGTTATAAAAGATGGAGTATTCAAGTTATGAAATAAGCCAATTTCAGGCAAAAATGGGGAGCTAAATATTTTAAAACCCTTCTCTGCTTTCTCTGCTCTACTACTGGGGCTATGAAACCACTGGAAATGCACACAAGCCCATAAAAACTTTTTTGGGCATTTCGATACAGTTACGTATAATTAGTTTCTTGTGCTTCCAGCATTCAGAAGTTTAGGATACAATCCTGTTAAAACTGTATGATTGGGGTGATCAGTGCCTTGACAAACTCCTTCAGGGGGTATTAAAAGACTTGGAGTTATCACTGGGGTGAGCTGAGGCAGAAAGTTTGGAAGTGCATATCATCCTACCCCAAGCTGGGCACAGGATACTAGTCGTCTACCTCTTTTATTACTAGATACAAGTTAGTCAGAACCATACCACCAAGTAAATATTGGGAGAGGATGACTGTCTCTTCCAGAGAGAAACAAGGGACTGCATTTCAAAGTTGCATCTCTAAAGTACTCCTGGGAGATGAAGTACCTGAATGTGTATAATAACATTGCCACGTTTATCTGTGGTCTAGAGTGTTTCTAATCCCTTTCCAGCCCAGAGTTGATAAAGTAAAGATTTAAATTGTGGTAAACTTTAGCATTAAGTACATAATTGAGGTCAAATATTTCTCTCCATGTGGTGCAATTGAATGTTGGGGGTTCTCATCGTGGCACAGTGACAAGAATACAGTCTGAGACCAAAGACGCCTTAGCTTTTATTATTTACTTGACATAGATGTTTTCTTAGTTGATTGGTGGTTCAGAGTCTCTCAGCTGGTCTCTGACAATCTCTGTGTGACCTGGTCTATGATGAGAAGTTTATTTGGTGTGTCTCTTGGTGGAGGTAGTCTGCCATGTGTCTTGCATCCCCTCTGCTGATTCCATCTATATTTATCCCTATAACTCAAAAACCCATGGGATTTCCTTTTCACAGCTTTTACTTTTTCTTTATTAGGCAAGAATAATGTTTATTTAATTTTCAATGTTACAATATCTTTCTTTTATATTTATATATAATCATTCTTTAGTATGCATAGGGGTTTATTTCCATGACTACCCCCTCCCAGATAGCAAAATCTATGGAATCACAAGTTCTTAATATATAAAGACATAGTATTAACATACAACTTACACACATTTTTTTCATATACTGGGAATTATGCCTAGTTTACTTATGTTAATAAAATCTTAATATTATGAAAATATTGATATTCTGTATCATTTAGTGAATAATGACATAATATACATATTCAGAACAAATGCAATTTCCTTAAAATAATTTGTATCTATGCTTGGTTGATGCAGAACTTACAGCTTCAGATACTG